TTGGGGTGTAAAAGCGTTGACCGAAGTACATTTTGTATGAAGCGCGGAAGGTCTTCATTCTAAAAATGTACGCACGGTCAACGCTTTTGCAACCCTATAAAATTACTAAAAGAAGTATTCAATACTTATAATTACATTTTTTATTATAGGATCATGACAACACGATTTTTATGAAGCTTTTCTTTTATTTACCTGTGCACTTTATTGTGGAAGCTCGTGTCATTATGAAAGTTACATTTTATTTGGAATTGAAGGTTGATTTCAGAATGACACGAGATTGCTGTTAGCCAATCAAAATTGACGTTTTATAATGAAACATACATGTAATGTAATTATAAATAACTAAACCCGCTAAGCTCGTGCGTAACAAGGGTCAAATTGACGTTCGCATGAATGAGCTTGCAAGTAAATAATTAAACAGCGATTTATTTTAGCTTTATATTTTGATCAAACTGTACAAAACTGGCTGCTAAAAGAGGATTACAAGAGAGTAAATTGGTGCACGCACCAAATGTTTGGGCCGGAAGTAAGGAGGTTTTTGGTGTATAAAAAAGTGCAAAATGCTTATATAAACAATCTGTATATTGAGTTGACTTGAATCCTCAATTGCCAGAACTGTTCCAATCCAATTAGTTATGATAATGCTATAAAATATTACTAAATTATGCAGTTGATGAAATCGAATATCATTTAAGTGCAGTTGATGAAATGGAATATCATTTAATTCATTTTCAAGTCTTGATTTTGAAACTCGTGACTATCAAAGTTGCATCTACTGACAAAATATTTGTATTCCTCATCTCAGATATGGACTTTAACGCAGCCTTTCACCTCATTTTCTCATCAATGAATTTTATGTCAAGATGACTTATTTTTTAGGACCCTCCTGACTATAAAAGATGCATCGGAATTAAACATATTTATTCTAAAACCAGTTGTTGGCATGACACGGGTTGTGTTCTTCTCATATATTTTATGACGGTATAATACTAAACCCCTAACAGGAGGGATTGTGCCTGATATTCATATGATGAAGACATAATCTTTCAATCAGTTTAATTGAGGTCTGGAGCTGGCATGTCAGTAACTGCTAGTAGTCTGTTGTTATTTATGTATTATTGTCATTTTGTTTACTTTCTTTTGTTTCCTATTCTGACATCGGACTCGGACTTCTCTTAAACTGAGTTTTACTGTGCGTACTGTTGTACGTTTGTTTTTTCTACATTGGCTAGAGGTATAGGGGGAGGGTTGAGATCTCAAAAAACATGTTTAACCTCGCCGCATTTTTGCGCCTGTCCCAAGTCAGGAGCCTCTGGCCTTTGTTAGTCTTGTATCATTTTTAATTTTAGTTTCTTGTGTATAGTTTGGAGTTTAGTATGACGTCCATTATCACTGAACTAGTATACATATTTGTTTAGGGGCCAGTTGAGGGACGCCTTCGGGTGCGGGAGTTTCTCGCTGCATTGAAGACCCATTGGTGACCTTCGGCTGTTGTCTGCTCTATGGTCGGGTTGTTGTCTCTTTGACACATTCCCCATTTCCATTCTCAATTTTATCTGCTGACAAAATATTATTTCTCCACGAGTTGTATCTCAGATATGGACTCTAACGCAAACTTTAATCAGTCACTCATATATGAAATGTAGGTCAAGATGACCTTATTTTTATCAGGACCCTTTGTTATTCAAGACGCATCTATGAACAAAATCTAATGAACTATGACTTATACTTCCACAGATAGATGGACTTTGACTTTGTGACGGACAGATGAAACACTATATCCCTTCCCCAACTTCGTTTGACAAAAGATAGAAAAATCTTAAACCAAACAAATGTCGAATTATTCCTCTCAGTAAAGGTTGAGACATCCTCGACAAAATGTTGTCATTTCTATTCGGTTTTGGTGAAATTTTAAAGTATCAACAAACATACATAAAAATATGGATGTAGCTTTGTGTGATATTTAACGATGAATTCTGTTCAAACCGATGCGAGGGGTCAACTGGAACTTATTTCCAGTTATGAGGAATATTGCTCATTGTTGAATGCCTCATGGTAACTTGAAGATGAATGACAACAATAAAAACGTTCAATTTTGGGGTTTTACCATGTATTGATATTAATATTGTCTCATGTACATTTACTCCATATTTCATATTTTCATTGGGTATACGACAGACTAAAAAACTGCTTACATACTACAACTAAAATCAGTACGCTTGAGACAGTATAGCAAATTATTCTCTTCGTAACAGCTGAGAAATCCTTGACAAAATGTTTTCATTTCAAAATTGCGAAGTATTAACAAACACCAAGTGTATAGTTGAGAGGCTCGAAAATCACTTTCAGTTACTGATGTTAAAAATCCTTTTTGCGTGAACACCCTGAGGGGTTCACGTTTATATATTGGTGAGTTTGGAAGTGTCTATGGGTCATTCGATATCCTCAGAATCAAGATTCTCGGAACGTCTCGAAAATTTTCGATCATTTATACAGGTAGTTATCTATGTCTTTGATACGGTCCCTCTGTGGATAGGCTACCACGTGACATTTTATATTTCAACAATCAAAGTTCATTTGTAGATTGGAAAGTAAAACAATAAAGACTAGGTTGCAGTAAAAAAAATCATTTATATGTTTATATAGAACCTATTTGCCTTTCGACAAAACATGTGTTTTAATAATGTGAATGTTTATTAAATATTAATGAAAACGCAATTATATACTTCATGCTTTGAGACGGTCCCTGCACGCGTTGTGTGTAGTATTCAATATAGCGTCACGTTGTGCATTGTGACTATAAACCTGGGAATAGTTTTTGATATATAATGTCCCAGAATAAACTGATTATTTCTGAACGTTTTTCATTGATATTTTGTATTTCAATCATAGCATGGGAAAATGTCGGAAGGCATGATGAAAATTAAGAAAACGATATTTCTGTTAAAATATTTATCTTAGGTCGGAAAGCAGAAAGATAATCAAACAAAAGGATTTTTCTGCTAAAATATCTATATTTCATTAATAGATACTGCCAGACTAAGAGAATATTCTTATTAAGTTTAAACTGAGACTGAATGTATTCTTAATAGAATATGATTAAAATAGTCATATATATACGTGCATAATGTCTCACAGGTTTGAACAGTCATTACATTTATGAAAATTATATGCAACGTATGAGCACCAATGAACAGGGATGCGTACCCAAAGGTAGCAAAATATTTCAATTTTTAAAATTTTAAACAGTCGTGAATGAAAAAATATGAAGATATGATAGATAAAATAAATGCATCCAGTTTATAAAGCAAACAGTGCTTAAATTTATATTGCGATTGGTTTGTGCAATTTGCATTAGACATCGGGTTTGTAGAAACTAGGATTTGCAAAAGGGTTATGAAAAAATGATGTACACTCCCAAGTGATAAATAAAATAGTCGAGCCTTAAAATGTATATTCAAATAGTAGCTGCACAACTATCCAACATTGCTTTCAAATTGCTTGTGCAAAAATCTACACACAATTACATATTTTCAATAAAGGTGTTTTAACATCATCATTATCTTATTCTATTCACAGTAAATTATTTCAATTCAAAAGCAAACAATTTTCAGCAAAAATTTTTTGGTGACCAGTCAGCGGTCTTGGGTTCACGTATTGCTTTTCTTCTTCTTTTTTTTTTTGAAAGAAAGCAACTTGTATCTGTGCGATGCTTCTGGGTTGGACTGATGATAATCTCCGAGAAAAACGAATTGCTTGAACTTTGACATTTCTGTGTCTTTGTGAAAAACCCGCGAAACATGGAAACATGTTACCTATAAAAACTCCCGAGATCGTTTACGTTGAAAGTAAAGATATCTTTATTATGATTATTTTTCTTAGTGATGAAAACTGTATATATAATAATCAAAATAGAATAAAAAATAACCATTTTGAGAGAAAAAACGCAAACTATAAATCATTTCCCATGTTCCGACGACGAGTTGTTGTAAGATTATGCCCAGCAGACACAACAACGTTGATTCAACATTGAATAAACGTCAGATTTCAACGTTGAATCCATGTTGAAAAGTAGTGTTGGATTGAAAATTGATATGACGTTGAAAATTTAACGTTGATTCAACGCCAGCTTTCAACGTTGAAAATAGGTTGAACTTTGGTCTGAATGTGGTCAGTATATGTTGAAAACAGGTCGAATGCTGGTTGAATTGAGTCAGGGTATGTTGAAAACTGGTTGAATGCTGGTTGAACTGTAGTCTGTGCATGTTGAAAACTGGTCGAATGTAGGTTGAATACGGGTTGAACTGTGGTCAGTGTGTTCAAAATGAATTTAATATTGATTGAACTAAAGTCAATGTATGTTGAAATTAGGTCTAATGTTGGTTGAATTGTGGTCAGTATGTTAAAAATGTGTTAAATATTGGTTGAACTGTGGTCAATGTATGTTGACAACAGCAGTGGTGTTTCTTTTATTTGTTTTTTACTGTGACAGTGGCAAAATTAAGATGTGTTAATAAAAATGTTTTGATTCTTATCCACAGCTGAAATATTTTCCCCTTGCATGTCCATCAGGATAATTCTAATTGCAATAAAACTTTCTCAATAGTATATGTACTAAGTGGGAGTAGTCATCATGTATTTGTGGTTGTATTCTGTGGCTGAGTTCATTAGTTTGGAGATTCCTCCATGTAATCCCTTTTTATATTTGCCTTGAATTTTGTAATTTTGTGTAAAATAAGTAATTCCCTTTCCTTTATCTTGGTATGACTGGCATGAAGACAACTCACTTCTGAATCTGAAGTTTTTTATACACGACTAGAGAGCACAGACACAACTGCTTAACCCTTACCAAACATAGATCATCTTTATAATTGAAAACCTACAGCTTTTACTTATATACGACTACATTGGTCATACAAATATTCAATTCATATAAAATATGTGTGTGAACTAAAAACTTAAGTTGCTCAAGTACGTATCACATTCAAACAAACACAAAATGAATACTAAAATTTTATTAAATTTCTAGTCTTTTTTACGAGACACCCCCCCCCCCCCCCCTGATCTTTCAGGAGCATATTTTAAAAATCTCCCACACTCTGTCCATATTGAGGACCCTGTCGCCCCTTCATGGCTACTACATGAAACTACAGCATCTGCAATAGAAAAACTTAGTATAAGTACACTATCATAATTTTCTTTTGCAGTTCATATTAAGAACTCTACTGTTATATGTGAACAAATTATTTCTGTATAATTATATCATTCTTTAAAATAATTTACTGATGGTAACCTATGTTTTTTTTTGTTAATTAATTTTCATGGCAAGGATTTTGTGAAAGGATTTGGGTAACAAAAAATATAATGCCAGAGTAGGATTTGGTTACAAATTGTAACACATTCTTCAATGTGTCAAACATTGGTATGACTCACCTCTTATAATTTTGAACAGGTTTGAGTCACCAAAGGCATGTTAAGTCTTTTTCCCTTTCATGTTCATGTTAGACATCAGTTTATTGGTAAGACATCTACAAAGATAAAAAAAAAGAATTATTTGAAGTGCATCATCTTCAAATTTTCACTATTCCTTCTATAATTTGAAATAATATAATAAGTTTTACAATGTGAAACTCTTTCCAAATTTGTAATTTCAAATCCTTTTAATTATCGGTTAAAACCCACAAGTATTATAACTTTTATTTTAGCAGTAGAAATTTGTCCTGCAGATTCCAACCCCATCAAGGGCTTTAATAATAAACTTGATCCTAAAACTCATAGTTTGGAGAACTTACAACTAGCTAATGACACTTGAGCTCTAAGACCTTGAGTCACTCATCTTGAAAAACAATAATGCACAACAAGCACCAAGATCTTAACAGTCACTCATAATGAGAAACAGCAATGCACCACACGCATCGAGATCTTGACAGTCACTCATCATGAGAAACAACACTGCACCACAAGCACCAATATCTTGACAGTCACTGATCTTGGGAAACAATAATGCACCGCAAGCACCAAGATCTTGACAGTCACTCATCTTGAGAAACAATAATGCACCACAAGCACCGAGATCTTGACAGTCACTCATCTTGGGAAACAATAATGCACCACAAGCACCGAGATCTTGACAGTCACTCATCTTGAGAAACAATAATGCACCGCAAGCACCGAGATCTTGACAGTCACTTATCTTGAGAAACAATAATGCACCACAAGCACCGAGATCTTGACAGTCACTCATCTTGGGAAACAATAATGCACCGTAAGCACCGAGATCTTGACAGTCACTCGTCTTGGGAAACAATAATGCCCCACAAGCACCAAGATCTTGACAGTCACTCATCTTGAAAAACAATAATGCCCCACAAGCACCGAGATCTTGACAGTAGTTACTCATCTTGGGAAACAATAATGCACCGCAAGCACAGAGATCTTGACAGTCACTCATCTTGAGAAACAATAATTCAACACTAGCACCGAGATCTTGACAGTCACTCATCTTGGGAAACAATAATGCCCCACAAGCACCGAGATCTTGACAGTCACTCATCTTGGGAAACAATAATGCACCACAAGCACCGAGATCTTGACAGTCACTCATCTTGAGAAACAATAATGCACCGCAAGCACCGAGATCTTGACAGTCACTCATCTTGAGAAACAATAATGCACCGCAAGCACCGAGATCTTGACAGTCACTCATCTTGAGAAACAATAATGCCCCACAAGCACCGAGATCTTGACAGTCACTCATCTTGAGAAACAATAATGCCCCGCAAGCACCGAGATCTTGACAGTCACTCATCTTGGGAAACAATAATGCACCGCAAGCACCGAGATCTTGACAGTCACTCATCTTGGGAAACAATAATTCACCGCAAGCACCGAGATCTTGACAGTCACTCATCTTGAGAAACAATAATTCAACACTAGCACCGAGATCTTGACAGTCACTCATCTTGAGAAACAATAATTCAACACTAGCACCGAGATCTTGACAGTCACTCATCTTGGGAAACAATAATGCCCCACAAGCACCGAGATCTTGACAGTCACTTATCTTGAGTCACTTTGAGAAACAATAATGCATCATAAGCAGCAAGATCTTGACAGTCACTTCTCTTGATATAAGATGGATTGCTCAGTGAACGGACCTCAGAGATTTTCTGCAGAATGCTGTAAACATGGTAAATCATAAAACACAGCAAAGAGGGCATAGGGTTACGAAAAAAAGTGTCAGAGGACAGGAATAACCCTCCCAGACCAATTGAAAATACTGCCCAAATTTGAACATTGAGTGTCAAATCTGAATGTTTTTGTTATTAGAATACTAGAAGTATACAAAAAATTTATGTTCTGCCTATCAGAAACATTTTAACCCCCAAAAAATATTTCTATCAAACAACACATTTTAGTCATTTTTCTGTCAGAATGAATACTATAATAAGAAAATCTTTTAGTTACAATACTTGGCATGGTATCTTGTTTACATTTCTAAAAATAACCCGGTTTGGGAATTTACGCAAATATGAGTCACGCATTCTGTGCTTAAAAAACATTCATTGTTTATAAATATATTTAAGTTTTTTTTTGGCATCTTCTTCTTTTATAAAAATTAATAAAAATGTATTTATTTCAATTACCCAAAATCTTTATTTTTGCAATAATATAGATCCGCAGAGAATCATGTAACAATCTTAAACCCATATCATATGATGGACCGGCTTAGTGCCGGACCATAATAATTTCAATATTCTACTTTCATTTATGTTTGAGGCAAACAAAATATAGTTTGATTTTTAGGCAACTTCACAGCTAGTGCCCCTTTAAGATAAAACACTTACATGCAATCATTTATATAGTATAAACTCAAGTTGAAATGTAAATAAAAAAACGAAATATGTGAAATATATTCTAAAAATAACCCGGTTTGGGAATTTACGCAAATATGAGTCACGCATTCTGTGCTTAAAAAACATTCATTGTTTATAAATATATTTAAGTTTTTTTTTGGCATCTTCTTCTTTTATAAAAATTAATAAAAATGTATTTATTTCAATTACCCAAAATCTTTATTTTTGCAATAATATAGATCCGCAGAGAATCATGTAACAATCTTAAACCCATATCATATGATGGACCGGCTTAGTGCCGGACCATAATAATTTCAATATTCTACTTTCATTTATGTTTGAGGCAAACAAAATATAGTTTGATTTTTAGGCAACTTCACAGCTAGTGCCCCTTTAAGATAAAACACTTACATGCAATCATTTATATAGTATAAACTCAAGTTGAAATGTAAATAAAAAAACGAAATATGTGACAACTGAGGAATATAATAAATGGGTTATGATTTTGCCATGAAATATGTAATGGTTCGTGATTTCACAAAACTTCTGTATAAGCTTAGGTGTTTGACGGTTTGACCATCACCCCATTATCTTGGATTTGTATTAAACTCAAAGGTTTTTTTTGGCTTAATTTTATCACCCTTTTAAAAAATGGTGGATCTGCCACTAAGTCTTTAATTGTGCACAATAAAAAAAGAAAAATGCATACATCATGTTTAAAGCGTACTAGCAACTCGTTCGTTATGCCCTTGTGTGTGGTGATGTCATAGATCTTTCATAGATACAAAGATTTGATTAGTAAATTTGGCTGTACCTGTAGAAAACTGATTAAAAACGGTATTTCCCATCCTAAATTTTACGGTAATATTGTACTTAAAGCGCGGAAATCACTATGTGATCCGTGTAAACTCATCGAACCTTTAAACAAACTTATTAGTAAAGGTTATCTTACCAATGTTGTAATTAGATCTTTGAATATAGTTAACATTGGCACTAATATCGATTTTGTCATCAGCAAATTAAAACATAACTAAATTTGTATTCTTTTCAAACGGGATGTATAAAGACACACCCATGATTTATAAAGATGTTAACTCCTAACTATCCTACTGCCTGTCGATACATTTATTTTTGGCATTGCACAAGTCATGTCTTCTTTGACTGTCCATGACGTTAAAATACTAAATCCCTGGGATGTTTTAGTTGATTTTAGTCTCTGATGCATGATTTTTTATTATTAATTGTTTTTGGCTTTTAACTACCTGTCAGTAACTGCGAGTACTCTCAAATCGTATTTTCTTGTTTATTTGACCTGTTGATACTAATTGTACTGCTTTTTTGTAATTTAATGTTTACTTATTCAGGGTTATATCTGGTCTATATACCAGCTTTAATAAGTGTTTGGTATTACTATAAATTTTCACTTCTTCGTACTATGAACATCAAAATTTCCTTTCTCCATTTGAACTGTACACGTATACCTAACGACAAAATTATTTTCATTTACCTGTGTTTAAAGTAATTGCAAATGGCTGATATTTTTGTTCAAGCATATTGTTTTTCTTAAATTGTTTAACATTTCACAGCGGTATAACATGTTACTTTAATTATTCTTCCCTTAGTTTATCTATTTTGTATTTACATTCTATCATAGATCAAATTTATTTGTTCAGTGTATGTTCACTGGTGTTAATATGTCTTTTGATTGAGTTAAGCCATTTCAATTGACATTTTATAGTGTGTCTTTCTATATTGTGATGTTACACTATTGTTTTAGATAAGGGTGAAGGTTTGGTACCATTAAAACGTTTAAAACCGCTGCAATTGTTTGCACCTGTCCTAAGTCAGGAATCTGATGTTCAGTAGTTGTCGTTTGTTGATGTGGTTCATAAGTGTTTCTCGTTTTTTATATAGATCAGACCGTTGGTTTTCCCGTTTGAATGGTTTTACACTAGTAATTTTTGGGGCCCTTTATAGCTTGCTGTTCGGTGTGAGCCAAGGCTCCGTGTTGAAGACCGTACTTTGACCTATATTGGTTTACTTTTATAAATTTTGACTTGGATGGAGTTTGTCTCATTGGCACTCATACCACATCTTCTGATATCTAGCATGTACTCTTCTATAGTATTCATCATTAATATTTTAATAAGTGATTAGAATGGAGAACAATGTATCTAAAATTACATGCATGGCATACACGAAATTAATAAAATAATTTCTAAGCTCCTCCCTACCTCCCAAAAAATGAGACATCTTTCATTGTCATTATGGATAAGCTCCTCCCATTATGTGCAAAATTGACAATTGATGAGTCCTTCCTATCATATAAATTTTTTATGGCAGACGCTATTATTATCTTGTAAACCCTTGTATGTAAATGTATTTGCGAAATGAACTTGCAAATGGTGCAAATGCTACAATGTGTTGCTTTTGCTATTATTTACTTTTGACCCTTTTGATACGTGAGAGAATAGCAAATGCTACATTTAAAACAAAAATAGTATTTGCAGTTTAATTTTCGCATTTGCAGTTACAATTGTCGCATTTGCAGTTACAATTGTCGCATTTGCAGTTACAATTGTCGCTTTTGCAGTTACAATTGCCGCATTTGCAGTATTATTTGTAGCATTTGCTATATCTATTATAATAGCATTTGCGGTATTTAATATAGCATTTGCAGCAAAATATACTTTTGACCCTAATGATACGCC